CCCTCCCAGGCTGCCTACCCAAATTATCCATTGGAGCAGCAAGGGCATGAAAATGCTGGATCTTTGGAAGTTCCCCAACTCCTGCCAGATCAGTAAAACTCACAGCACACAAATTAAAAGCCATATATAAAGCACACATCCGGCAGCTCGCAGGAAAACTCAGCTTCGTGTGTTGCTATTCTTGTGTCCTCCTTGAACAATAATTTTTAAATTAAGTAGCCACTACACAGAAATTGAAACTAGTTCTAAGACCTCAGTAAAACAATAGGCTTAAGTGATATTGTTCAGTGAATGCTATAGTGCTAGTAACACAGAATACCCGGGCATCTCTCTTGGTTCTGTCTTGATAAACTCTGTGATCTTGGAATTGTCCTTTCTCATCCTGTTGATAACTCCCCAACAGTATTTAGACCGTAAGTCTTCTTCTAAGAAGGTCCCATCCCATGACAAATTTGCACAGTGTCCAGTCCAGCAGAACTCGATCTCTGCAAAATGCTGACAATCATCTCTGACCAAAGAATTTAAGGATCTCCTTTCAGGGTCCATAAGTCAGACTTCAGCTTTCATGCTACTGACGATGTCAGAAAGGACAAACAGAGATATTTTTTTAACATTAGTTAGAAGTGGAAGGCTGGGCTGAAACAAGGACATGGTATCCTAGCAGGTTCTTCATAGGAGAAATACTCAAAATAAGCTATAGTACTGTATCTCCCACTCAGTAGACATCATGGGGGATCAAAAAAGGCATAAGAAGGAAGGAAAGAGTCAGCGGGGCTGGAGAAAGTTGAACAGAGTCTCTCACATAGAATATATGAGATTTAACGAGTGTCAGTGTAGTTGGTAGGCTGCATGACATAAATGCTGTAAAACTAGGACTATTGTTTTCACTAGCTTAGGCCAACATAACTCGATTGAATGTGTATCATTGTCTCTTTCCACAAGCTGAGGACCTGACCTGACCTTACCTAACCAGACCAGAAAAAGAGCTGTGAGAATAATGTAACTCTCAAAGAATGAATTTATTCTATGGATTTAAAAGCATTACATAGGCACATCTTTGCACACATACGAATTCAGCAGGCCTGATTCCTCACTTTCCCAAATTGTAAATGCTGTAGCTGCACTCATATAAAGCAAATATAAGTCGAAATTAGAAGAATCAAACCTGTGATGCTCATTTTGCAGTTGTAATTCTTTTTGCTGACTTCCTTGAAAGCAAAGTGGCTGTGCCGGACTACAGTTTCAAGTCACAGAAGTTAAATAGGAGGCGAATATGCTCAGATTGGTGGGCAGTCTGTGGTTGCCATCTGGTGGCTAAGTGTAAATAGTACAGGAAAATAAGAAAATATTCCTATCTCTCCGTGATGCTTTCTTAACAGCATTTTTAAAAAGCGTGCTTGTATTGTCACTATTTTATTTTGTTTCAGGCTTAGTAACATGTATAAGACATTCCAAGATTCATTACTTATATATGCAAGTTCTCAGAGATTTAATTCTTCTATGTTTTGCTTCCACAAATCTTCAATTATTGCATTACCCTTCACTCTCCCTCATGTAACTTACTCCCTGCAGAGTAGCTCTAAAAAGACTTAAAGTAGTTGCATGTAGAAGAGCAAGAGATTCTCATGTGGTCCTCATCCTTTGCCTAGTAGACCACCAACCCTACAGAATTGCCACCCCCATCACCCCTGTACCAGCACGTCATAGATCCTGTAGAATCTAGACAATAGTTAGACAATACCAGATGGTGTTGATTGGCTCTGATGTCCAGGAAGCTGATACTGAGGTGGCCAAGAACATGAGAAGAAGGACTGATGCAATTCGAGGCTGCTTCATTTATATTTTTAAAATACCAATACACAAACTTTCCATTCATTCTCCTCAGCTTCCCTATTTCTATGCTGTCTTTTCAAATAACTTTGGCTTGTTGCAACAGAAGAACAAGTTGCTATTGGCAACATTTCTCTTTTAAACCCCTCTGCAGGACTGTCTAAAGGATTCACCCTATGGGTTCAGAATGTAGAACACAATTTCTCCAAGGACTCAATGAAATGCTATAATAAGTCAGTCTGCCTTTATTTAAGATCTTTGGGTGAGGAAGAAATGATTACACCTTTTGTTAAAATACTCATATAAAACCTTCACTCAGGTATGTAAGGTTAAAGTGCCGCATTTCACAAGCATCCCTACATATGCATGGCACCAGTCCCACGGGAGGCTGTAGGTGCTCCTATAATACAAATTAACAGTATAGCATATGAAATGTCACTTATGTTCTGCAGAAAACTAATGAAATTTTATTCAGATGATCACATTTACAGTTTTGGATGCAGAATACAGCCAACCTTTGCAGCTCCTTCTTAGCATCCATGAAAGATCATGTAAGTTCTCATCAACTGGTTTGTTTTAGCAATCTTAGCAACAAAGCCTAAAGTCTACATCAATTTCACTGACCATCGGCAGCCGCTGAAAGGCAAGAACTTGCAAGTTAAGTACTTTAACACTAAATACTTTGACAGAGCTGAATTCTGTGTCACCAATAAGATTCAGACAGGACAAACTCAACTGATTCCCACACGTACCTACTGCCATACATCCTTTCACTTCAGTCTTCCACTATGGAGTTGCAGGAAATGTGTTTGCTTTGCACTTCTCGCATAGCAATTGAAGCATATGTGAGATTTTTTTTTGTGATAAAGATATTCGGCAATGAAAACAGACCAAGACATGAATAAGATCTGCCCTCTTGTGTCTACCCTTCACATATAAAGAAACAAAAAAGCAGACATGGCAAGTCTCCTCAGAGTCACTAATTCCACTGACCTCATACTTGAAGGCTGAGGGGTAGATGTAATTTTAACTGAATCACAGAGGTGTTGGAATTGTTAAGGTGTCTCTTAACAAGAGAAGAAGGAAAGATGTTTACAAGTAAAGTAATTAATCTTGTAGTGACTGAGGGAAGAAGTGGACCCCACAGATTCTATTTCATTCACCCTGCAACCTGCCGGACTCTCATTTCCATCAATTTATTTTAGAGCTTGTTTCAAGCTTCGCTAGAATGACACATTTTCAACATAAAAAGCCTGAGCAGAAGAGGGCTTTCCTTACACTGCTGGGTAGGACAGACAAAGCGACTGAATTCTTGACGTGAATTTCTTTCTTCAAACAATATCAAATACACTGACTGAACATAGGGAAACAGATGTTAGCACTTCCTTTTCACATAGAGTTTCAGAGAACTGATGACATCTTTTTAGAGGTCAGGGCAGGAGAAAGCATTTTTCCCCTTACACTGCAGGACTTTCACAAGAGTTATTTTAAAGCGCTGTTTATTTCTTGCCTTGCCTTTCTTCAGCTTCTGTCTTTAATCTGAACTCTGTCCTTTGCTCGTATTTTTTTTCTACAGCTGCATATCTTTTTATTGCTCTCTCAATTGCTTTTTTTATCAGGAGGTTGAGTGTACTTCAATTTGTCCTTCGCATGGTGATCACACAAAGTTCAGGAGTCTGATTTACTTGTGTATCATTCCAATTTCACACCAGTGCAGTTTCTTTTCAAAGAGACTAGAGAATAAAACTGCTGTGATTCAGGCCAACACTACAGATTTGTATGCAGTACTGAAAATCAGTGAAGTATTTAGCTGTCTGTTTGGGGGACAGTTCATTTGAGCCTCTGGGATATTTTTCAAGGAACAATGCTGGAAATACACAGACAAATGAGGGACACCACCCCCGCCCCCCTACCCTCCCGACTTTTTACTGACAGCAGAAATTATGATACAGTAAGTAGAACTTTCCCCAGTAGCATTTTTTTCTACAGTGCATAACCACCTTTGTCAAAACAATTTGTCTCTGCAGTAACACCAGTTGCAAAGACCAAGAACTAGTTAGCTCATCATCTGAAAGTGAACTGTAGACTTAAGGAATACTACAGGCTTTGGATTCAGGGAAGTTATTGTAGTCTTGTGGTCAGGACACAGGGCTGAGAAATCAGAGACCTTCCTGTCTACTAGTGACCTCAGACAAGTCAGAAAGACTCTGTACTTCAGACTCGGTGAGGTTTAAAAGAAGTACGCTGCATAAAGTGCTACAAACGAACCAGGAGAAATGGTGCTATCTAAGGCCAAGTATTCTAATTTCTTGATATAATAAAAGAAATAAAAAGATATAAAAGAGTATGAAATCTCCAACCACAGAAATATCCTGAATAGGACAAAAATTGAAACAGACATTGTAAACTTCTGGAACAAATATTTATTTCTTACATCTGACCACAAAAAATCCCACTGAGAATTATTAGCCTCTCATTTCTGAGAAAATGAAATTCACAACAGGAAACTATTAAAAAAATAAGCTTCATATTTTGCATTACAATGCAATCACACAACAAACACAAATGTCCATAACAGTGTTGCCTATTTTTAACTTGTTTTTAAAATTTAAAGCTGCTATGTCTTGTTCACCAACAGAATTGAAATGGATCCCTGCTTCTGACTGCACATACTACATCTCTGCAATAGAAAATCTTAAAGAATAAATGGGTAGGAGCAGACAAAGTTGCCAAAAGACAGTGGGATTGAGTGCACCCTCGGCAAGTTTGCCGATGACACCAACCTGTGTTGTGTGGTTGACATCCTGGAAGGAAAGGATGCCATCCAGGGGGACTTGGACAGGCTTGCGAAGTGGGCCCATGCAAGGGGTAATCCCATGCATAAATACAGGCTGGGCAGAGAATGGATTAAGAGCAGCCCTGAGGACAAGGACTTGAGGGTGTCAGTTGCTGAGAAACTCAATATAAGCTGGCAATGTGCGCTCGCAGCCCGGAAAGCCAAGTGTATCCTGGGCTGCATTAAAAGAAGTGTGGCCAGCAGGTCGAGAGAGGTGATTCTGCCCCTCTGTTCTGCTCTCATGAGACCCCACCTGGAATATTGTGTTCAGCTCTGGAGCCCCCAACATAAGAAGGACATTGACCTGCTGGCACAAGTCCAGAGGAGGACCACAATGATCGGCCTGGAGAAAAGAAGGCTCCGGGGAGACCTTATAGCAACCTTCCAGTACTTGAAGCAGGCCTACAGGAAAGGTGGGGAAGGACTTTTTACCAGGGAATGTAGCGATAGGACGAGGGGTAATGGTTTTAAGCTAAAAAAGGGAAGATTTAGATTAGATATAAGGAAGAAATTTTTCACTCTGAGGGTCATCAGACACTGGAACAGGTTGCCCAGAGAAGTTATGGATGCCCCATCCCTGGAAGTGTTCAAGGCCAGGGTGGGTGGGGCTTTGAGCAACCTGGTCTAGTGGGAGGCGTCCTTGCCCATGGCAGGGGGGTTGGAACTAGATGGTCTTTAAGGTCCCTTCCGACCTAAACCATTCTATGATTCTATGACATATAACAGTGATACCCACAGCAACATGACTATTCTGTACAACTCAAAGAATACATATTGACTAACTGTGACTCACCATCAGTAAAGAGGGTTATTTAACAGGCAATATAATTTAAGTCTGTGCAGGTAAGCACCTTGTTGCATGCAAAACCTAGGATATTAGTAGCACTCCAGTGCAGCTATGAGGAAAGCACAAATGGTCAGGATGCTCATCTTAAGGCAGTTGCAACATGACTACATTGCAGTTTATTGATTTCTCAGAGCAGAAGGGTACACATTTTGATATCAACTATGCCCTAACACCTGAGAGGATTTCCATGTATACATAATTAATTCTGCTGTATTCTCCTCGTTTTCCACATTGGCATGGCAGTCTTTGCTCCAAGAACCACCAGAAAAATCTGTGCTTGCTATAGGTGAAAGATCAATGCCCTGGGGAGGAAAGAGCTGAAAACACCCACAGAAGGAATTGCCTTTCTGTAAAAACTTGTTTTCAATCCATAGAAAGATTTAAGGCAGTTCAGCCATCATGGGGTTAATTCTGCAGTAATAGAAGGCCATTTATGTTTTCATGGTGACATTAATACAGGGCAGCTTGACCTGATTTAACATTCTACTGCCACAAAAGGGGCAGATACTCCCTGGGTCACCTTTTTCCATGTTTGCAGCTTGTCTGACTCCTCCACAGGCCAATTCAAGACCATAACCCAGCAGCGAACTGAAGCTGGGAGAAGTAAATACTCTTCTGTGCCACGCTGATGAAGCCTAATGAATCAGTTCATGAGCAGTCCAGTGAGCATCACAATTGGGAGACAACTGACTTGTGAAGCCAACAGCAGGAGTAAACAGCAAAAGCTCCCTCATTCAGTATGGCAAGCTGTTAAATCAGTGCAAGCATCTTTACTTAGCTTTATCCTTCTGCATCTTGCAGCACTACGGCTGGGACAATCTCTATTACAATTCAGAATTATCTTAGGTCTTCCCATGTGTAGCACAGGTCCTTAGAGGCCTTTATACTAGTTCACAGTACCTTCCTCTTCCTTCTTTTACAATGCACTACCCCAACATGCTGTACTATTTGAGTAACCGGACTCCCTTCTGCAAATAGATGGATATTCACCTCTGTGACCTCTGTAGAAGATAAAGTGTCCCAGCATTTCATTAGCAATCCCCAGAAGATGGAAGCCTAATTATTTCTGACAGAGTAACTAATGTCACTATTCAAGACAGAAAGGAGTTACAGAAGAGCACACCTGAGCAGGTAGTTGCTATGGCCAATTCATTACCATTTTCATTAGGGCATAAGAATGGATTCCCTTGCAGAATTTTAAGAGCTGGAATAGAAGAAAAGAGGATACAAAAAGGAACTCCAAAGAGAGAAGGAGGACAAAATGAGGGAGCCATTACAGCAGGGAAGCAGCCCTGCCACTGCTGCTTTTTTGGATAGTCACCAGAGCCTCGGCTGAAGGAATGTTATGTCAGCAATGTCAGTACTCTGCAGATCTCTAAGTGCACAGCATAGAGACAAGGCACAAACCCAACACAGAAAGCTAATAAATGTGACTACCAAAAATTAAAATCGGGGAGGTGCTGTTTACATTTACTTTTATCATTGCTCAGTGCTTCATGTAGGTACAGAGGCAGCGTTCTGACTTCTTTATACAGAGACCTATAGGGAGAAAGACATTAAGAAATCTCAAGTTTTGTTTCCAGTACATAGACACATGTAGCACCTTGCAGAACAGGATGTTTAGGAAGCACTGCAGTGATGTGAAAATCAAAAGCAGCATGATTTCTAGGCCCCTGAGAAAGTTTTATCTATGCAATTTCTATTGAAATACAACGAGAAGAGTATATAGCAGGGGAAAGGAAAACACGAGTTATAAACCTACTTATTATTTGCATGCCTTATGTTATATGAGTAAAAAGTATGAAGCTGGTATTTTGAATAGTTTGAAAATATGAAGCTAGAATAAAGTGTAAGAAAAGTTTTCTAGGTGAAAAGTCTTCTAGGTTTCATTTCCTGCTCTTCTACTGACACTTTGTAACAATATATCTAATTTAATTCACTTATGAAGCATGTAACAATAACTTTTATCAGAAACACTTCAAATTTAATTAGTGAGTGGTTCTGTAGCATAATAGAGTCTTGGAACTCATGAATTTCTTTACTTTTTTTCTAAACAAATTATTTAATCCGACAGAACCCTTGGGAGCTAGGCAAGTCTTTTCATTTCACTATCTGTATCATAAATTTCTAAGAGACACAGAGACTTTAATATTTACAAAGCAGACCGCATATTAATCCACAAGCAGCTCTCCATTAAAATCACAGAATCATAGAAAAAAATGTTAGAAGGGACTCCAGGAGGTCAATTCAGACCAACTCCTGCTCAAAACAGAGCTAATGTCCAAGTTAGATCCTGTTGCACAGGGCTTTGTTCAGGTCTTATAAAAAGCTCCAAGAATTTATATGCCACATCTTTGGGGAGCCTGTTCTAGTGCTTACCCACTCCCATGCTGAAGGACCTGTAATCATGAGACTTCTTCTAGTTATCCAAAGAAGTTTTAATCCATTTTCTTGTCTTGAGACAGCAGTCAGTAGCAGATCACCCACATGATATCCCCTTGTTGGCCTTCCCTCAGACCCTGGCACATAAGCTCTCAGCCAGCCTGTCACCAATGCCACAGCAGAACTCCGTGCATTTGAGCATCCACTCTTTCACAGTTCAAGCCGTAACAAACACTGTCAGCTATAAGCAATCACATCTCTATTTGACAAGCTATAAAAGCTGTCATCAAGACACTTCAGTAGTATTATCTCAACACTAAGCTGGCTGTTCCTCCAGTGGGTTGTAAGTGATGTAACTGTTTTCACCTTTGTTTTATCCTCTAACCAAAAGAGTTTGGAAGCTCCTGTACCAGTCACCAACTAGCTTTGTGACTCAGAGGAATAAAAGGCTGCTGCAAAAACTGGCGCTGAGACAACTTATCCTCACCCTTCCCCAAATCCCAAATCCGAGTAAGCTCACAACATGCATTTAATAGGTACATGAAGAACCCTCCCCAGAAATATTTGTAAGACTTACTTACAGTAAATTAATGTGACAATGTTTTCACATGCTGAAGGGCTAGCAAAGAATAAAGTAGTAATCCTGCAGGTGTATCAAAAGAAAGTACCACAGAAGTTGATCTTATTGTATCTGTGTTTGAACAGCACCTTAATATACAGCTAGGTTCCTCCTTGCAAGTACAGGCCTTACCTAAAATAGTAACGCTAAATTGGCGCTTCAATTGGACCTAAGGAAAACTGTGTCATGATAAATGGTATGTATAAGGGTAATCCTAAACAAAACATTGCCTAAGATTTGCATCTCAAAAAAGTGAGTTTGTTTCTTCAGGTGGATGAATTGAAAAAAATTTTTTTCATACATTCCTCACAGCTCAGAGATAAGAAAAATAACTTAAAGTACTGTGATGAGTACAAGATTTTCCACTAAAGCATAGAGAGAGAAGAAACATTAACTTTTCATACTTTAGGTTTATTGAACATTTTTGGTTTAGTGAAATGGCTTTGCCTGCAAAGTGACCTATATGATTCTGTGTAGGAACAAGCATTTATGCATTTATCATAACTGTAATTTGTTCTTGAATAAAGCTTTCCTATGGCCTTTGGCTGCTGCTATTTTGTATTTAAGGGTCACAATGTCCTGTCCAAGCTGCAGGCACATGGTAAGACTGTATATAAAATGTCTGAGAGCAGTAATTCAGAGCTTCTAAGTGGTGTGGGCAGGTCAATTAGTTTCAGAGTGCTGAACAGCACCAAACTTTTGACAATATTCTCATCTCAGTTTCCTCGCTGTTCCTTTCCGTCTTATTTTACCTGAATAAGTGTGGCCATAAACCATTGGGATTGATTAAATCCCTCTGGAATATTAATCAAGAGATAAGACACTCTTTTGCCCTAGTCCCATGGTGCTTCATTAACTTAATTTCCAACAGAAATTAGCTGATCCAGGAGCTCTTCCAAGTTCCTATGCCCAAAGGTGCCCTGGCCATATTAATCTTTTTAGGAATACCAGAAGACATGTTCCATTCTTCAGCCCACTTAACTTAAACATCTCATTGATTTCAGCTTCCATCACTAAGTAGTGGTGGAGTAGTGAACATGGGCGCATCATGCCCCTCCAGGTACAGAATGGGGAAAGAAAGTAGACTGCTGGGTCAGAGTACAACCTTTCACAACCTTTCCAAACATAAGTTCCCTATATATTACAGGGGAGAGTTGGCCATTCCAGAAAGGTATCTACAACAGCCAGCATGCTGAGGGCAACTTGGCAGGCATCTGGGTTTGACTTGACAATGTGGCAGAGTACCCCGCTTAGAGTATCATGAAAAGCAGGGCTTTTGCACAATAGGGCCAGACTGCGTAGGATTGGTATAAAGCATGAGACAGGACTAATATCACAAAGACTGGCTTTTTTTTATCTATCTGGTCATTTGAGGTTTTTTGTGCCTTATAAAATTTTGAAGCACGTTACTGCTTTGTCATTGGTGCATTGTTCTTTGCAACTAACACTTCTGCTTTCCACAAGGCCCATCTAGTGGTCTTGTACTAAGATTTCCTAGCGCAATGGGCTCTGCAGATGAAAGTCCAGTGCCTGGAATTCATCCTAGACTTAGGTTTCGTTTGCATCAGCAAGTAGTGTGGTGCAATACGAGCAGTCCTGTAGAGCGCTTGCACTTTCTGTTGAGAACAGGCTGCACATACTACATGTGGACATGGACACACCATAACTACAGCCTTTATGTCTTAAACATCAGCTGTCTCCCTAGCTGGCACCTGAGCAAGGGTTCTGAGGATGAAAATCCACACAGAGCCCAGGAGGTCAGCTCTGTGTCCAAAATTTCTCTCTGTTCATGGACCTAAAAGGTACAGCCTCATCCAAAATGCAATGACCCAACTGAATTGAGAGGTTTTTTTCCAAAACTCTACAGTGGCAATTTTAAGTGGTGGAAAAAAAGACTCCAGCACGGTCAAGCGTACAAAGTTTCAGGCTTGTCCTCGACCCAGCAGCTGGGGTGCACCTGCACTCTTTGGGGTCGTACCTCCGTAAACTGGAAAGAAACACAGAGCACAGGGGTGTGCGGTAGTCAACCCACCTCCACAGGGGCACACACCACTCTGAAGACTGTTTATCGCCTTTTGAAGAGTGTCGGTTATCAGGGTACAATATTTCTTAAAAGGAATCTCTTGAAGTAATGGCTTTTACTTTTAGTTTCCCCTCACGTTTGCCTTGCTGGTGTTGCCCACTCTGGCGTGTGCCCTGTGGAGGGCATGGCACAGCTCTGCACGAAACAGCCGCACAGAACGAGGCCTGGAAACCATCACTTCACCTCCTCAGTGCACTTTGCAGCAAGTTAAAAAGTAATACGGGGTGTGGGGGTACCTAGGACAAGCAGGGAGTGAGGGGGAAGGCAGCGGGGAGGCGGGCGCGCCTGAGCCGACTGACAGACCGCAGCGAGAGAGCGGCAACCC